AAAAAAAAAAAAAAAGAACACTGGTTCTGCTGGAGGCAAAGCACAGGAGAGTGCGTCCCTGCCAGCCTGGGCCACCCTGGGAGTCAGGGACCAGGTCTTCCGACCTAGTGGCTCCACTCACATCGGCATGACATGCAAGCCCTGCAGCTGGGACGACTTAACAGATATTTACAAATTAAGTTTTATTCAAACGTCTAAATGCTTAAAACAGCAAAGGACACAAATTAACCTAAGTGAGTCCAAAGTGGAGCAGAGAAGGGGACCAGAACCATGTGTGGATGAGTCTGCACCTACAGAGACTGTGTTCAACTTCCTACGGACTGACGTGAATACTCATGTCCATCACACATAATTTAAAAAGCCTTGTCAGAGTTCTGAGAATGAGGACGCGCCCCCATCTCCATTCCCCAAGATGGAAAGCACGCTCACTCAACTCATTTCATTCCCCCCGGAACGAATAGGTGGTGGCGTTCAACAACCAAATTTTCATTCAGTCCTGAAAATCTCAGGAAATGTTTTTTGGTTTTACCCCACAGTTGCAGGTTCTATCCGAACCTTCATATTCCCTCAAATTAGGATTTTGTAGCCACACAAAACACTCTAGTTTAACAGAAGCAAACTGATCAAGAGATGAGATTATGAAAGGAGGAAGTGACAAGTTTCAATGACTTTTTTTCTTCTTGCAAAAAGACTGAAAATAATGTCAGAACTCAAATCAGGAAGAGACCTACAAATGAGGAATGATGTGAAGTTTATACAGGACATTTAAAACTATTCCAGTCAATGGAGGGGGACAATGGGGGCTTTCAGGGTGTCACTAATGTTGTATTTCTTGACTGCATGCTGGCTACCTGGGTATGTTCAGTTTATGAGAATTCACTGAACTGGGTACTCAGGATCTGTGAACTTTTCTATATGTGTATCATACTTCAACTAAGGGGCGCCTGGCTGGCTCAGTCGGTGGAGCGTGCAACTCTTGATCTCAGGTTGTGTGTTCCAGTCCCATGTTGGGTGTAGCGATTACTTAAAAATAAAATCTTAAAAAAAGTTAGAAATGGGGTGCCTGGGTGGCTCAGTCGTTGGGTGTCTGCCTTGGGCTCAGGTCATGATCCC